GCGCTGCCATGTCTTGGGTAGTCACTCCACTTTGTATTAGTCGTAGAGGCCTTACACCGGTATACGACTTGCCGTTTTCTAGTGAACCGATGTATATAGAGTCGGCAGGAAGGTAATTGTGTAATTCGATAAGGGTGCCCCTTGTACCACTTTGATGCCGTCCAAAATTCCTGTCGGGTAATTCAAGCGAAGGAACACATTTGCGGTTTGCCTATCACAGATGGAGTAAAAACTACTGATCCTAAAGTCTCGAACTAGATAATGCTATCAACTTTCGCGAAATGTCTGCAATTATACCAGTAGTAACTATTCTCGATAATTTTGCTCAAGCGCCGGGCCTCGTGACCAATCTGACTAAATCAATGATCATGGAGCTGGACCCTTGCTTAACTGCGCTATGTGTGTACACTTGTGGTATCCCTCTGCAGTATTCGAGCGAACATTGCACGTATTTTGTTGTTGTGGTGGAAAAGAAGAACGCGGTGGATAATAACAGGAACAAAATCATTCTTTCTCGTTAGAGATGACTTTACTAGCTCAATAGAAGACTCACACCATGAAAAAAGGTGCTCAGCTTGCCAGTGCTATCGTATTTTCTAAAATTTATGCTCTTTGCCCGGCACGGTGAACCCCCTTCTGCCGTGGTTACACAGCTGCACAGCCTAATTATGGACTTTATCTGAGCGTCCGTGGAGGCAAGAGGTCCCGCCAAAGTGCCATACCGAGATGTCGGTAATACCGACCCAGCAGGGTGGGCTATCGGTGCCTCGTATGTGGACGCAACTAATGAATATGGCGGCAGCAGTAGTTGGGCAGTTGACAGCTACTGTTTCTTTGTGCGACGTACTGATTGTTGACTTGCGATGGGGCTCTTACGAGTGGTGTACGGCCTACGTGATGCCTTGATGGACGACATACAAGCACACTCGATATCGAGCGACTTTAAACTTAATGATTTCAAAACTGTTGGAATTTCAGCAACTCGAACAGCCTGTCAAGGTGAGGTCAAGGAGGTCTGCTGACAAGATTTCTCGTTACGTCTAGAGCCGGGGTCTGATATAATGGATACGGTAGTGTCAAAATTAATGTTCGCCGAAACGTAATGACAGACTACGTCCTGGGATGAGAGCTGTAGTAGCAAAATCGGGGCGATATTGCCACAGGTGGATGGTCCACGCCGCGTCCCAAAATATGTCTTGGCTGAGAGATAAACGGGATCAGACTTATACCTTTGAAGGAGCCAATTTTGTCAGGGCACACACTTGCATTGGAGAAATAATGTCTTTGAGCTTTTAAGATTTGTCTAGTATTATTTGCGTACGAAAAATTGGCGACCCACTCAATGGCAAAGCGGCGATATTTTGGGCTCTGTTGTCGTGCAGTTATGTACAATTTCCTTCGCTGGTTTTGCGGGAACCTGAGCCGGGATCATTGATTTCGTACTAGGAAAGTGCATCAATATCATGACTGGATCCTCAAAAGTGACGGTCCACCGCTGACAAATTTCGATACGTGCTGGAATATGGGGTATAAACAACCTCGTTGATGTCAGCATGCTATTTAGCCGCGTCTACAGCCAGTAAGACATATTTCAAGTTTGGCGCGCATCTGACACTCACGCGCATTAAAAACATGTGGACTGGACGTCGACGATGGCAGCTCATCCGCAGCAAACTAAAACAGTATATCTCCCGCCGACGGCTCATCGATTTCACGGATGATAGCTTATACGTCTAAGTGGATGGCCTGGACCTTCCAGGTATCCCACAACATCGTTAACGATTCACAGTGATGATATATTACAGACATTTAGTAATAGATAGCCACCAAGAAAATGAACTTCTCCTCAATACCTATGTATCAGTCGAGGAGCTGTTGGTTACCCCGCGATACCAGAAGATGTTCAACGACAAGGTGCGCCTCTATCAATGTAAGTTCTGGATGTCGTTTTCTTAGCCGTATTTTTGTCTAACCAGAGCTCTATGTCTTCGCTCAGGATTTCGAGTAAATTTGTCCAAGGGGATCTCAGCGTGAGTAAATAACCTGCACCCAACCAGATGCTTTCCTAGTGTCAATCGAATGTTGGCAAGCATGTCATCCATTCTACTAAAAAATCACATGGATATGAGTCGATCCGATAATCATGAGCTTATCTACGGTGTGTCGCCACTGCTCATACATGAACCGCAGGTGTCATGATGGGGGTGCATCCTGATGTCGTTGTTGGATATTATCATGCTAATATCGCCAGCAACCTCGATGCCGGTTTTTAATTAACTCTGAACGTATCGAAGACCATTAATAATCACATTATATAGTCCTATTGTTGGCGGTCATCGTCGCGTAAAGACACAATTGCTCTAAATATTCTCTGGAGCGGGTGTGTTTCCTTCAACAAGTGCAATTATTGTTTCAGCTTATAAGGTCCTAAATTAGCTCGGAAACTGCCGTCATAGATTATAATAGTCCCTTGCGAGGATAAAAATATCGGTGCCGTGTTGAGAACGAGAGAATACTGAAGAATGGCAAAGTGCCCTGATCGTGATATCTTGGCGTTACATCGTAGAGTTTTTATGTCGTAATCATGAACACTTTCATCGTGTAATCAGTACGTAGAAGACTACGATATAGCGCCAACGTTATGGTTATTGTGGCATTCACACTTTTATTCCTTTAGGTACAGAGTCTGCACCATATAATTTGAATGGTTGTGGAAAATCTGCTTCTCCAGTATGTAGTCATGATGTTAAATATGTGGCTTTGTATGACGGTCTTTTCCCCTTAGTGATGGTGTGATGTCGTGCGTAAAGTATGCTTCACAAAGCTGAGGGTGCCAACAGTTGCTCAAACCGATAATACCGACCCAAAAATGTATCATCTTGCGTGAGCCGCAGCCATCTTCGTCGAGCTATTGAAAATTACAATAAGGTTTTTGTATACTAGGACGTCTCAAGAACAGATAAGTGGTACCTACGTTGGTGAGCTGAAATTTAGCTAATGGAAAATCCCAAAGTTGCCGTTGGGCATACTATCAAGATAACGTCTGCTGATTGATCCGATATTGCATTGTTTTTCCCTAGGAGTTCCTCCCTAGTATTTTAAAAAGGCTCCGCTAGTGCCAAATAAGTTGCGCGTATTAAATTACCTCTTGGACCAACCTAAGGTTCATAGGTTCTTATAAATATGCGTGCGACACACTAGATGAAATAGTACCGCCCGGGGTATCCCGCTACCAGCGGGTTAGGCCTCGCGAAGAGGCATAAAACCTTATCAGCGACTAGTTGAGCTATCCGATGAGGTGGTAATTAAAGCATCCGGCAAGACACCGCCCGTCCCGTGGGACAATAACCACAATCGGAAACGGGTGTTTCGGCCCTCCCTGAACTAGCAGGAATAGTTCTTATTAAAGAGATTGTACTGGATAGACCTCCAAATAATATGTCCATAGCGACAAATCTATGTTACATAAATATTTATCCAAGTAGCGTTTTTAATGGCTGGCGCAATCTTAAAATCTTGTGATTCCAAACTAACGTCCGATCTGCCACCTCCTGCAGACCATTTCGTGTACTTGTTATAAGCACTTAATTTTTGTAAGCGTGTCGAGATTACTTCCACTAATTTATACCCACTTATAGGCATACAAATCGATCAAGATAAAAATACGTGTGTATATCTTAAACCGAGATATCTGCATTCGCATCTCTCTGGAACGCGTTATATAGATGTAGAAGGAAAGAATAAAATATTGGACGTGCGCTCATCTAATACTCCCCTTGACATCTGAATAGCAACAGCATATTCCTGGAAATCAAACGTTATTTATGCGCGACGATAGGACGGTCTGGCGGGACCGCATTCCTTCTTAACTCTATCGAAGGGATGTGATAATTTCCAATATCTGAATAGCGATCCACCCAAGCGAACAACAGGTCACGCGCCACTATTTCGTGACTATCTATAGCTTGCAATAAGCGAGTTGCTCCCACTCAAAAGTTACCCACGTGACCGCATGGTTTTAATTGACATGCAGCGGCAATGGCCAGGCAGGTAATGTGATGGGTCCTGCAATCTCAAGCACATCGAGTAGGAAGAGTTGACGTATATCTACATAAGCCATTCAGGACATTTTTTTTTAATTTAATCTGCATAATTTTTTTCGAGGTCCAGAAAATGGACCCCTGTCAAGATAGGTGCATCTAGAATAGTCGCATCGCCTTCCCATTCTACAGAAGTGTATATGGAGTCTTCAACAGCTTAAAAGTAACAGAAAGGCCTGCACTTTATATGCTCATGTTGGATGGTCTAGACCGGCTGTTTTGATACTATGAGTGACTGCTGACCACATTATAGAACCATAATTGACAGCTTGTACGATTGTAGTCGTATATACAGGCGTTTCTTATGCAGTGGGCCACCAATTCCGTGGATGGACCAGAAGCATGTCGTGTGAAGTAAAAATTAATTTACAAATGTATATATATGCAATAAAGTGTCCCCTTTTTCTATTGGCTGGGACCGCCAAATTTTGATTAAATAAGAAAATTAATAAATAGCAGAGTTGGCGGGGGGGGGGGGGTAGAATTGAAATGAATTGAGCTACAACTTGTGATAAAAAGCGCCTTTGCATGATTCTCGCACATAAGCTTGTAGCCCAAGTGCTTAAGCGTGGCCGCACCGCTCGTCCCTATTCGGAATGCTGCATCAATGCTTGCAGAACGCAATACTTTCTAGTTGCAGCAGGAGACTAGAGAGAAATTCTATGAAATAATTCAGAAGATGCAGGATCATGTAGGAAAGCTTCGGCAAAAATTCTCACGCAAGAAAATATGGACATAATATTCGTAGTGGTCCCTCGACAGTAGTTTTATTTTGTTTGGTGAAAAATTAATTTGGTTTTTAAATAAAAGCAACGAAATTTTTTAATATTTGGCCTGGGCCGCAAAATGAGATCGAAATGTATATCAAGTAAGAAAAACCAGAAACCTAGAGAATAATAATTACGATGACTCCACTGCACCTAGATCACTGAAGAACTGGTGGACGTCGAAGTTAACGAAGTCAAGGTCGTCGAAGTTGTCGAAGTTGTCGAAGTCAAGGTCGTCGAACTCGGGGTCGTCGAATTTATGATCGCCGATCTCGAGGTCTTTAAACTCGAGATCTTTGAGCTCGAGGTCGTCGAATTGGGGGTCGTCGAACTCCAGGTCGTCTAAGTCAAAGCCATCGAAGTGGAGGTCTTCGAATTCGAGGTCGTCGAGTTGAATGGTCGTCGAACTCAAAGTCGTCGAAGTCGTCAAATTCGAGGTCATCGAATTGGAGGTCGTCTAATAGAACGTGGTCAAATTAAAAGCCGTCAAACTCGAGGTCGTCAAATAAAGGTCTTCATATTCGTCAAAGCCGAGGCCATCAAATTAGACGTTGTTGAATTAGAGATCGCTTAGTTGTAGGTCGTCGAATTGTAGGTCGTGGACGAGCGAGAGTAGTGAAAAGTGCGAAAAGATCGACGAGGATTTATGACATTTAGCTTACGTAAATTAAGGAACGAGGAGAATAGTAGGGGACCACTTAACGCCTCACCGATAGCAAAAGAGACAAAACAATAAGGAGCATAGTTCTTATAAGTACAAGACACGCGTAACTGTAAGGTAAGTCCCTACGTGGGCTAGATTCTGCCTGCCGTCGAACCTCGAGAGCATAGTTTGTAGAGGTATGGATTGGAAGCGCCAAGAGTTTGGGGGGGGCCGGGTTGGGCAGCGCTCGCTACTAGCGAAAGAAGGAGTCTCGTTGTCGACTAGCCGGTAAGCCTAGTAAATGGACCGTTGTGAGTGTTGACAAGTGACAAGCCGGTGACCCAATAGACGGAACCGCTGAAATTCTTGTCGATCGAAAAGCAGGTGGGCCTCAGCCGAGGGCACCAAATAACTACTAGTCGGGCAGACTATGCGCCCGGTGACCTGTAAAAATGCGTAAGCGTCGGCTTCTATCCTTTGGTGTATAGACACATGGGTTGAAAGGTTTTAAAGCGGCTGAGCTCAGCTAGACTTCCGGAGTAATATGTTGTAAGGAATCAGTTAGACGAGATCCATAAATAAACCCCAAAGTGGCGAACCGCGAGGAAATTACTATCACGTACCTGTCGGTTGTACCGGATAAGCTCGGCGTTTATTGTATTTGTACGAAGAGGCGTTTTTTTTACAGATTTAACAAACTATTTTCCACAGTCGCCTGTGATGTGTTCTGTCTTGGTTTAATTACGTGCCCACGCTGATAATGAAGTGACCGTAGTTGTCAGTAGCTCCGCACCCACATTAGCTAGCGCAAAACTACCTCTCCGACTGATAATTTTGATGAGTACGCCTCTATCTAGTGTTTTGTAGCCATTGTAGCATCATAGAATTGTCCATTCCATAAATGATTTGTCATTCGCTTCGAAGTTTGAAAATAGTAGCAGTGGGTTGCCAGGCGTACATGCTCATGTATAATAGTTTGATTTAATAACCGCTGCTATTATAAAAGCACATTGAGCGATGCTGAGAGTACGTATAAACGCCAGGTAAATCCGTGTCTGTATCTAAAAGAAGCCAAGGATCTAAAGTTAAGAAACGTCTATCGTGAATCCCTTTAGAATACGAAAGTAGCGGCGGTGTTCAGGTTTGCTGCAAGTTTCGTACGCAGTTATTTTTGTACGATCATGTTCTTGCAAGTATCCCACATGGTCTTTATCTGAGCGGATGACAAAGAAAATTTCTTGATATAAAATTAAGCTTTTGCAGAGTGAAGGCGACGAACTTATCTGTACTTTGGGAAGCATATTGTCGTACTGAAAAAAAGGAATGGAATTTAAAAGTTGATTAAGATTATATGGTAATCTAAGATGTAAGGTTAAGCCTTTGTGATCAGATCATATTTCGTACTGGTCACCTTCTGTGGCAGCTATTCGAATTTAAGCCTAATGGTTTGAATACCATTTGTCAAGACGGATAAATGAATTATCCGTGTTAGAGATAGTGTTCATACAAGTGTGGCGGTCATTGTAGGAACCGCATACAATTGTAGAAACTAAACATCTGCCGTATCATTAGATTAGAAAGTCCATGATCAAGCCTGTATTTTTCCAAAAACTTTTCACGTAAAGAGAGATTAAGATCAATGTTTCTGAGAGGATGGCGCATATGAGTGGTCTCTGATGTCATATTGTGTACGATTGAAATTGCCTCTGAGGAACAGAAAAGTTATTTACGGTGTGGTGTTTCAGACAAGATCGATTTGATATTGCTCACGTATTCCAGGCAATCGAAATCATAACGTTCATCACCCACAATGGCTCTCGATTTAATTTTTCTTGCCATGCCATAATATGAGGATCACAGATATATTTTTCAAGTACTGATACAATTACATGTAAGTTTGATGGGGTGGAAAAGATTACAAACCTTAGCAGATGTGCTTCACCTGTTAAGACAGAACGTACTCTTAGGACATCTATGGACTTATCTAAAAACGAATTGATGTTCATGTGATCTAATAATCTCTTCCTTGCTGTCATCAGATACGTGCTTCTGATAAGGAAATGCAAAAATAGAGACCGTATGTGGGCCTTATCTTAGCTATAGCAAGCCATACAACTATGCTTTCATCTAAATTCCGAAATGTTGGACGTTATCAGTTTTCAGGCCGCTCGTAACATCATCGTGATCAGGGCGGATGCACTTGAGGCTAAATAATCAGTGCATTTTTTGCCGGTATTATGTCGCCAATTGTCTCGACGATACTTGCTTACATCGTGTCTTTGGAAGCTGATCCGCTTGATCAGTGGAAGAACAAGCAAAACATTCCGTAGTAGTTTGCTAGCATTACCAATGAATTATAAATGCTTGTTGCTTTTTAAGGGCAAAAAAATAAATCAAGGAAGTTTTTTATCCGCTTTACCAATTGATTTCTTCTGGATCTTCTTGGTAACAAGGAGATATTTACGGTCATGCTACTATTTTGGCTGTTTGTAAAGTCCTCACATATGTATCTAAGTATCTTATGTCCTGTCCACCCATTCGACATTACACTTGACGGAGCCCGGCCTGATGGTGGGTCGGTCCATTTCCGATTGCTTAATGGTATGTGTGCAATATAATTCGAGGTTCAAGCGGTATAGTACGTGGACTAAGTCAGATAAGCAGTCGTCGACCATCCTCGATAGTTTTTTCGCCTCGATCTATCGTCCGCTGCATCAAAAGCGTTCGATGCTTACGACATGTTGGATAGCACTAATCCGTCATCGCAGTCACCTCATAGGTGATCATCACTTCCAAAGTCCATCTAGATACAAACTAGGGTTTGAGTTTACTGAATGTATACTTCATGTTCCCCCCGCTGGACGAGTAAGGTCAAGTTTCATACTTTTAGGCCCAGTTCTGGAAATTGAGTATGAGACACAAGATCCCTGCAGGCACAAGGTGTTTGGAATAAAAAGTGTAATGTCGCTTCCTAAGGTCGGTGGCCTTGTGCCAGCTGGGGTGCACTGCAAGCTATTCCTGATAAACTCAACCTGGTATCAAAGCCGCATTTTTTATTGTGACAGTCGCTAAATGGACCTACTTTCGATTGCGTTTGTCAACCAGATAATCTTGAGCTTTCAGGAGCGGTTCTTTTGACCTTAACTTGATTTGCGTATATCGAACAATATGAATTCTTTACTTTCCTAACGAGATTTCATTTTGTACCTCAATAAAGCGTTATCCACTTGCGTATAGGTCTATACCTATTTAGTTCAGTTTTGTTTGTTCTAAATACGCAGTTTCTTCGTATAAGACTCCAATTGTACTCATTCGACCTCAGCATTATTACTTTAAATTTTGATATACCTGATTTAACGTTTTCCTCGTTGCTGGTCTTGTCTGAGCCTGCAACTTATGGAATGATTGACCATGTTGCACTCCAGAGAGGTGTCCTTCGTGATGCCTTGAAATTAGAAAAGTGAAGAGAGCATAAAAGAAAAAGGAAGGTTGTGAGAATGCCCTAAAACCCATCGCCAGATAGAGCTGTCAATATCTCATTCTCATAAATATGACCGTTTCGCATCTCAAAGTATCGATAAATGTACTGCTGCACTTGCGTCGTATCAAAAAAATCGACATCATAGACATATAATGAATCTATTTAGCAGACATCATTTGTTCTTAGTACCATTGGTTCCTCCTACAACGTCGAAGGAACTGCGGAGGAACCTGAATTTGTGTGCATTTGTGCGTAGTGGGTTCAACGAGCTGCAGTATCAACTGCATCAGAGGCTGTGGTCGTTATACCAGATAATAGGCGTCTAAGTTTGTCCTAAGGATCTATCAAATTTAACATTACGTCATAGCTCAGGTTGGCGAGATATGTTCTAAGAAATGCACCCTTTAACAATAGCTGCGGATCAGTAAACTTTTACGTATATTTATAATTTTGCATATGTAAAATTAACTGAAGAGTTAGATGCCAAGTAAAATCATTGTCCATTGTCTGATACAGATACCGGTACACCATACCGCAAACTGCCGATCCAGTCCATGTACAATCTAGTGGCTACCGCGTTTGGAAAATCCACGCGTGCAAAAAAAACATCGCTATCGCTGGAGCATTTAGCTTGGTCCATAATAGCAATTGGTAGACACACATTTAGCTCCATTGAAATGAGATTTAGAAACTTGTGAATTGCCGCATGAGTCTTGCGATAACATTGTTTTTTGCGAGTATACTATTTGTTGCAGCGCAATCATCACCCATGTATACATCAGCGTCATGTCGAACCCAAATACCGTTATCATCTAGCGTCAGCACTTCAGAGTTAGTTTTGTGTAAGTAATGACGACTGTTGTGATAATTTAAAATTGAAAGATCCATAGGTGGGCCCGAGCACGCCTAAATCATGTACTCATCGTCTAAATTTGCTGCAAAAGACTTGCAAGGATTATATATGCGGCGGTCAGAGTCTCATGGAATGTCTCAGTCGCTTCAATAAATTTAGTATGTACTTAAATCTTCGTGTTCGTTTCGATACTTGTAAGGTGGGAGAGATGACGACTCCGTACGTTTTAAAGATCCGTCTGATAGTTAAACAGTCTATCCTTATGAACACGGCAGGTCGGGGGACAAATGTTTCTATGCGCGATGACCAACTCGAGTTATTGAGTGTAAATGGACCGGAATGTACTTGGACCGATGCCCGCGGTGTACGGTAAGTTATAAGGTACTAGAGAATGGATCATATAGTAGACGAGCGATTACTCAATGGCTAAATGCCATGCCGACTCGTACCCTATATATGTGATAG